AAAAGGCATAAAGAATTATATACTTCTTATGTTTACACATAAGTCCAAAAATCTAACCATATACAACCTTGAAGCAGGATAGTCCCACAGCATTTCATTTCCTATCTTTTGCCTTCATTCATCACCCCCTTTTTGAGCAATCATCTACCCAAGAGACAGCACAGCAGCAACTGGCATGTCATGACAAGCAGCCTGTATTCAGAAGACCAGAATGACAGGCACTCCAAGCATGAACCTACTATTACAGATTACCATCTGCAGTGCAGTTGCTTAGTTCACAGGTATCAGTATATATAGTCAGTCAGGGTGAGAATCTTTCCAATTAACTGCTAGATTCAAAAATCTGGAGATCCTCAGGATCATTGCCTTGCCCACCTTCTACATATAACTGTATGGCTTGTCACTGTCATGTTTCCTAGGAATTTCATTCTTATATGTGGTATTTTTAGTGTTTTCTTAGTGCTTTACTACCTATCCCTGAACTCCATAAACTGTTGTAGTAAATGTTTGAGTTGTGCCTTCTTGAGATACCAGTATGTTCATGGTGGTGGCCAGAGTATAATCTGTTGCGATTGTCCTTAGTGTTTACCAGACTGACAAAAACAAGATGATGTCTCCGAAGTTGTATGAACATAGAGCTCTTGGGGCTTTTCACGTGTTCCTGACAGCAGAGAAGCTTGAATGCTCATTGCCTTGGTAGTTGGTAGGAGCACTGGGCGCTGTGCTTCAGGATATTACTACAGGAAGATGGCTGTAAACCTAGAGGTCTACTGTGAAGGTCTATTTCTTTTGTCACTAAAAATGTTTTTATTTTTTAAATTTAAAAAAAATTATTGTTTGATATAGGGTCTTGTTGCACAACTTGGACTTATAGCGATCCACCTGTCTCAACCTCCCCAGTGCTGGGATTACCGGCGTGCGCCACCACGCCCAGTTACATTGGCCAGCACAGCACACCTGGCATGCAGTAACAGGGATCAGACCTTAATCCTTGTGCTTGCCAGGCAGGTACTTGGGCCGCCGAGCTATCTCCCCAGCCCTATTGTATTTATTTTTGGTACCAGAATCAGACTTGGGACCTGAGTCTGCCAGGCAGTTGCTGTGCCACTGAGCTGTATCTCCAGCTCATAAAGATGTTTTTAACAGTCTGAATCAGTTCCATGTGTGATAGCATTTATCTTTATGTTGTTACAGAATTATTAACCTCAATATCCCAATTAAGAATCTAGAAATTTTGAGATTGTGTTAAATATTTAGAAATTTTAGCCAAGGAATTAAGTTTATCTTGGTGTGTAGTACTGTTTGCTGACTATACCATTTCTTATTTTCTGTGTGTCTGATATTGGGGATTGAACTCAAGACCTTAGGCAAG